AATATTAAGTTAAATTATAATTAGTTAGTTAGTTAGTTAGTTAGTGTAGTTAGTGTAGTGTAGTAGTGTGTGTGTGTGTGTGTGTGTGTGTGTGTGTGTGTGTGTGTGTGTGTGTGTGTGTGTGTGTGTGTGTTTGTGTGTATGTGTGTGTGTGTGTGCATATGTATGTGCATATCTGTGTGGGTGCAAGTCGGACCTGATTACGTAGTGCAAGTGAAGCAACATAAAATACTGCCGACACCGTGCCATCTCCTAGGCGTACGCACACGTCACATAGTAAATAGTCACAAGAGTTAAGGAGATAACGCACGGGTGGTTTAGTTCTACACAGACAACTCTAAATGAAACCACACGCGTCACAGTCTAGATGAGAATATACCACCAATAGAAAGCAGCCGCAGATACACATGGGTGCATACCAAATCGCCCCATAGGTAGGTGAACCAAGCGTCTCTCCTTTTTCTCCTCAGTGTTCAAAAAGTCCATAAGCAGTGGTGTGTGTAGAGGGCCGGGACATATAGCATTGACTCTGATGTTCTCCCTGGCATGCACTATGGCCAGCTCTCGACTATAGATTCGAGTGATCAGATTTCGATGAGGATATATTTAGAATTTGCAAACTTTAAATGCTAGGACCAAAAGGGCTGCTTGGTCCATAAAGCAGGGGTGTATATACGTGCTGAACAATTAGGTTGGCAGTACTAGGACCTTTGGCGTGTGCTATGTTGGATCTCGACACCCAAATGCGTACAAATCGAACAAATTCCTTATCAATAGGTGAAAACATTACATTCTACAATGAACGATTAGACCTAGAAACATAAGAACTGCGAAAGAAGTTTAACAATCGCACCGTGATAACTCACCTCATGGCCAGCACCCCGCCCTTTGACGCCGTATCTAGCGTTGAGTATTGGAGAGGACAAAAAATTGTCAATACATATATATGAAGAACAAGCTTGCGTCCTATTCATAAATGCGTCCTAAATCAAAACAAACGACAACATTCAGATGAAAAATTTGTCACTACGCCGACATTCCGTCGTAGTAATTAAAAGATTCAAGAGCAGCTTAGCGAAACATACAAAACAATGAACGTCATAAGTGCTTGCCGAAACAAGCGCAAAATATTGGTACACATTCTTCCATGCGAGCTATACTTACATAAGTGCGAGGTTTTCGGAACATACGTGCAAGCACTATACAACCGCCTAGCAGTTTGATGAGGTTAACAGAACAATCGAACTAGTTACTTGGGAATGTGTGGATCACCTGTGAATACACACATCGATGAATGCAAATCATATTGCACAGTGATTTCCAATTCGCATATGCGTGTCACGACATACTGTAAATGCAGAACACATACATGCGGTGCAAACTTTTGAGCAGATGACCTCAACATTATACGCACTCGCCTGCATACTTGGTTTAGTCGTATAATTGCCGAGTATGGAGGTACATATACACAAGTTTATAAACACATGGATGCGAATATGTAGCACATACAAGCGAGCTGGGGAGTTGCCGCACCCATGACGGCAACAAATGACGCAGTGTTAATGATAGAACCCCCGCCGGCTCGACGCATGGCAGGGATGGCGTGCTTGCAACCAAACCAAACACCTGTGAATGAAGGAGCGCGATTGATATCAATAAGTGTCCATCTACATAT